TGGAGTTAGAGAACCTGGCTTCAAAACCCAACTCTTCAACTCACTGTCACATTAGATTGTAAACTCCTTGAAGGCAGGGACTGTTTGTTTGTTTGTTTGTTTGTTTGTTTTTAACTCCTTTATGTCCCTGGTGCTGTTAGATGTATATTATATTTCTTCATTTTATACTGCCAAGTCTTCTAAATGTTATATATTATAGCTTCAAATCATATCTCAGAGGCATAAGGAGCCTCAGTTACTGAAGGAAACTCATACAATCCAATCCAGGGCAGAACAGAAATCTCTTCTACAACATTCCTAACAAATGACCATCCAAGCTTTGCTTGAAGACCTCTAGTGAGAGGGTATCTTTTATTTCTTAAGGTAATAGGCAATGGACTTGGAAGTCAGGAAGATCTGAGTTCAAATCTCACCTAAAATATTTCTGTGCTTCAATTTTCTCATCTGTAAAGGAGGGATTTAGGCTCAGTGGTCTTTAAGGTCCCTTCCATTTCTAAATCTCTGGTCCTGTGATCCACATAAACATAGTTTGAATTTGTTAGGAAGGTTTTCCTTAGATCGCTGCCCAAATCTGCCTGTCTACGGCTTCCATTCGTTACGTCTAATTCTGTCCTCTGGGGCCAAGCAAAACAAAACTAATCCCTCTTCTTTATGACAACTTTTTAAAGACTTGTCTCAGGGTCCTGCAATGCGTCAGATTTTTAAACATACAAACAACTCTAGATGAATGCTTCATTGAAAGCTAAAATAATTGAAATTCTAGAAGGCTTGTTTACCATTCACTTCCAATGTGAGGTTCAATATGTTTGGTTCCATCCTTTCCAGCCTAGCGTGGCTCTCAGGCCAACATTGTTGGAACAAAGTTGCTGAAGTGAGCAGATTTTTGGTTTTCTCCACTCCCCTCCCCGCCTTGTGAGGTTTTAGTAAGTATGTAGAACATTTACAAGTCCAGCCATAGATGCAACAACAACCTTGGTAATGACTAAATTACATATCATCCCCTGACCACAGCTATAGCCACTTGGAAAATGTTTGACTAATGAAGAAACCAAAATGCCTGTTGCGAATCTAGCAAAGTCCTATTCATCCATGTGTGTGTGTTTGTATACACATACACATATGTATACATACGTGCATGTATGTGTATGAGCACTTCTCCATCTCAGATACTATATGAGCTAGTCAGTTAAATACTGCCTGCCTCAGTTTCCTCAGCCCTAAAATGTGGCTAATAATAGCTCTTACCTCTCAGGGCTCTTGTGAGGATCAAAGGAGATAATATTTGTAAAGCACTTAGCACAGTGCCAGCACATAGTAGGTGCTTAATAAATATGCATTCCCTTCTCCTTTCCCTTTCAGAGGCTGATTGTCTAACTCGTGGTAGATTTTATGTCAATAGTATCTCTCTCATTCTCACATCTATCCCCTGTTCTCTCTCACTACTGGTAATTCAGTTCAGTTCTTTTTCCATTCTTCACTGCAATTGTTTGCCCCTCCTCCCCACCTTCATGAGCTCTAGTCTATCCCTCCTCCAATTCATCCTAGACCCAGCTGCTTCGGTAATCTTTCTGGTACATTTTTCTAACCAAGCCCCAATTGTATTAAAAAATCTTTAGTAACTTCTTGCTGATTTAGTAAAGTTTAAAGTCTCAGGGGCAGCTAAGTGGCACCATAATGGACAGAATATAGGACTGGAGTCAGGAAGGCTCATCTTCCTGAGTTCAAATACAGCCTCAAACACTTAATAACTGTGTGACCCTGGGCAAGTCACTTAACCCTCTTTGCCTCAGTTTCCTCATCTATAAAATGAACTGGAGATGGAAATGGCAAACCACTCTTGTATCTTTGCCAAGAAAACCCCAAATACGGTCACAGAGAGTCAGACATGGATGAAAAATGACTTACCAACAAAGTCATAGTCTTGGCATTCAAAGCTCTCCATGGACTGACTTAGATTTACTTTTCAGCCTTAGTGCACATCATTCCTTTTTCATGTACTCAATGTTCTAAACATGACTCTGATCTATCCTAGTTGTTTGTTTTGTACAAATTTTCCCCTCCAACCCCCCCCCCCCTCCCTACCCCTGCTCCCTTTCATACCTGGAATGGACTCCTTGACCCTATTTCTTCTCAATATGTTAAAATCCTTCCATCTTCCTTCACCTCCTCCTAGAATCTTTCCCCAGTCCCACCTCCAGGTGAAAAGGACCCTTCCAATTCCTCAGAACACTTTGCCTGGAAATATTCATCCCTTGTGTCATAATAATCTAGGGATAAATATCTTCCCCTATTAGGTGGTAAGCTCCTCCGGGACATTGTCTACTTCATTTTTATTCTTATACCCCAGTGCCTACCATAATGCCTAGAACAAAGTAGGAGCTTGTTGAATTGTTTCAGTTTGGGATTTGTGTACCTTGTGCACAGTACTTGGCAAATAATAGGTACTTATTGAATGTTCTCCCTCTCATTCATTCATTCATTCATCCATTCATTCATCCATTCATTCATCCATTCATTCATCCACTCATTCATTGAATTAAATCACTACTTCTTTTCCAGTAAAGTCTGTGTTCATCATTGACTTTCAAATGAAGAAATGGGGAGCACAATGTAGCGTATCACATTTTTACATAGTGTCCGTTATAGAGTGGTATAGGAATATTTGATACAACTATGCTTATCTCTGATTTCCAAATGAAGGAATGGCAAGTAAAATGTAGTGTACCACATTGTGTATGGTATCTGTTACAGAGGGGCAACATTTGATGTACACATTGGATGCTACTGAACGAATTCCATTCTTGCGAAAAACTGGTCACATCTCTGCTCCCTTTTCCTAGTACCATCTGTAAAATGGGCATAATAATGTTTGCCCTATACCTATCTCATAGGGTTGTTGTGGGAATCAAATGAGTTATATAGAAATATATTGATATTATCTCAAGCACAATTAAAACTGTCATTCTTCATAAAGTATAGATTTCCCATCATTCCCTTTACAGACCCTGCCTTCCAGCCAAACTCCCTCTGTGTGACATTCAGTCTCCCACTTCCATGCCTTCGTACAGCCTGTCCCCCATGCCTGGAATGCTTTCCCTTTACTCCATCTTATTTTTAGAATCCCGTGCTTTTCTTTCAAGACTTATTTCAAATTGCAGATCAGGGCTTTCCTCATATACCTGGTTGTCAGTCCCTCTCTCCTAAAGCTATTAAGTAATTGCTTTTGTATGTGTTTTTTGCTGAGTTATCTGTGTGGGGTTTAGACCAAAGTACAAATTCTACTTTACAGTAGAATACTAACTTACTAACAACAGTTCTAAAGATGATATCGGAAAAGCTAAATGAATCATGGTCATTACGTAAAAGACCTAGAAACAAAGGCTAGAAGAGGAAGGGACTGGTCTATACCTTAAGACCGCTGTATTCCACATTGATCAACACCAATTAGTTTAGTACTAAATTGTTCATTATCAGAAATTGTCTGTGAAGGTACAGCTATTTTGTTTATGTCCTTGCATACCCTAGAGCCTAGTATGTTGATTAGCACAAAGTAGGCACTCAGTAAATACTTACTGAATTAAATAGAATGCAGATCTATGGCAACATGATAATGAATCAATATCCAGTGTTTCTAGTGAATTAATAATAATACTAATAATTAACCTCACAATTGTGAAATTCATAGAAGAATAAGATACCTAGAAGGAATTTTAGAAAGCATTTAGTGAAACTCTCATTTTACAAATGAGCAAACTGAGTTTCAAAAGAGGAAAGAATTTCCCCTGGATCACATAGGTAAGAAGTGGCAGGGCTATAATTCAAATTCCCGACATTTGACTTTAAATCCAGCATCATTTTAAGAGGCCTCACTTACTTGCAACTCAAGCCATCACCTTCCTGATGTCAAGAATGAAGGACAAACAAAGGGGCTTGAGGAAATAGTTCAGTGTTCTGATTGTATTTGGCTCTTACCCCATCTTTTCATAATCCCCATCCAAACACATTGTTGTTATTTAGTCATGTCCAACTCTTCATGACTTCCTTTGAGGTTTTCTTGGCAAAAATACTAGAGTGGTTTGCCATTTTCTTTTCCATCTCATTTTACAGATGAGGAAACTGAGGTGGACAGGGTTAAGTGACTTGCCCAGGGTCACACAGCTACGAAGTGTCCAAGGACAGATTGGAGCTCAGGTCTCCTTGACTCCGGGTCCAGCACTCTATCCGCTGCACCACCTAGCTGCCCTTATCTAACACATCTTCTGAAATGATCGAGACGTCCTCATTCCATTGAAAATTTAAAAAATGTATTACAGACATAATGTGTCTAACAGAAAGATAGCAGCTCCATGGTTTTTGCCATTCTCCAAGAATTTCAAAGGATGAGGAGCTGTCTATCCCAACTCCTTAATTTTACAATGAGGAAACCAAAGCCCAAGAAAATTAAGTGATTTACATAAGGCAACACAGGATGCAGCTATGTGGTACATTGGATAGAGCCCTGCCTTGTAATCAGGAGGACCTGAGTTCAAATCCAGCCTCAGATGTGTGCTAGCTGTGTGACCCTGGGCAAGTCACTTAACCGTGTTCGCCTCAGTTTCTTCATCTGTAAAATGAGCAGGAGAAGGAAATGGCAAACCACTGTAGTATCATTGCCAAGAAAACCCTAAATGGGGTCACGCAGAGTTGGACACAACTGAACAACAATAAACAACACAAAAGGTTACCTGTGTTATTTCCTTCTGTCACTCTCGAAAATAATTCAACATGTACTTGTTATACAAAACTGGGAGAACTGATTAATATCTTAATAACTTTGTATGCTGTAAGTTGAATTTAAAGGTACATTGAACCTACAAGGGAAGGAACAATTTTTTAGTTGGTAACCTTACATTCAAATTGTTAAACGATGAAAGCCTTCAACTATCTTTGAATCATAACCCATCATTTACATTGTTCAAAAGAGCAAAATAAATTTCAAAAGGCTATTGACAACACAATAATGTTTTTTGCTATGTTTTATTTTTCAATTAGCGGATTAAGCATAGCATGCAAATAATTGAACAGAAACATGTATAAATGACTTACAGTGAAATAATCATTCTAAATGAGAAAAATCTCACTACGTAAGTGCACATGTAAATTTTTTTTTAAAAAAATGAAAATACTTCCATCCATTCATGTTGTCTCATGGCTTTAGTTAAATAAGTTTTAAAATGAGCATTTACTAGTGGAAACTTTAATTCAGCTTAACAAATATCATTTTTGGTGCTTTAGCATACAGAAAAAAAAATGAGTTAAGGTTAGTGAGAGGGATTTACTTTGACTCAATGGTTTAAGCTTTGGGCCTTTTAAGTTAATATTTGGTTATCCAAAAATACACCTGGTTTCCTTGTCACTTAAAAAGGGTAACATTACACGACGTTTGGGAGATTTTCTGACTTGCCAAGTTAACAAAATTCACAAAAAGCACTCAGTGCTGTGTGTATGTGTGTGTTTGTGATGAAGCAGGCCTGCCTTTCATCTCATTTCTTAAAAAAAAAAGTAAGTTACAATGTTTACAAAACATTTTCCCACAGATCATAAAATTCTTAGTAGTAAACATCAATGAATTTGATAGTAAGGAAATGGAGACTTTGTTTGGAAATCCTAACTGTAAAGTGTTATTCCTAGACAAATCTCTAGTATGAACACTTATAAAGAATTCTGGGATTGGCCAAGAACTCATTCCAGTGTGATGTCATTGGCTACCCGAAGACACTCGTACGTTTCTGATGGCAACGTAGATCGACTGAGGAGATTTCCATCCAGGCGTAGGTGTTTGACCTTGGAGTAGGATAAAGGACCCAGGACTCTACAGAAACTCTTTACTTCAAACTCTGGAAGACAAGAAATAGGGAAACTTAGAAATATGCTTTGTGCAGACTTTGAAAACACTCAGTGGAACAACCTATAATTACAATATATTGAATATACTACTAATCTTCAACAACAACAACAAATTACTAACTTCCTCCCGTATGAAAGACATTAATAAGTGACATATTATAACTCTGCAATTGGACGACACCATTAAGCTGATCCTTCTCATTTCACAAATAGGAAACTGAGGTCAAGGGTGGTTAAGTAAAGTTCTCTGAATAGAGTTTGTATTTTTCTTCACCGTATCACATTCCATCTAATCACCGTAGATACATAGTTTTTTGTTTTGTTTTGTTTTGTTTTTTCTTTCTTTTTTTTTTTTAAATAACAGTGCACCTGACCTCAAGAATTCTATCCAGGGCAGATGTGATGTGAACACTGATAAGGACTGATATATTAAAGCAATGTGTTATGGAGGCAAAGAAGAGATTGAGAGAAAGTGATTGAGGAAGATTTAAGAAGGGATGAAAAATGTTTACATTGGAGCATCAAGTATTATCTCTAAAAGAATAAAATAAATAAATAAAATATATATAATATATATGATATAATATAAAATATATAATAAATATAAAATAAATAAAATAAAGTAAGATAAAAGAATAAAATAAAATAAACCACAGTAAGGGCTATAACTAGTAATTTTGTACCTGGGGCAAGCAGCAGGACATAATTGGAGTGGAGGGTGGAGGCAAATGTTTCAGGACATTGAAATGGAAGCTACCACTGGTAGTGGGGAAAATGGGTATCTACAACCCTAGGAAATAGAAGGCTAGAAATGGAGGAAGACACACTGACTTGGGGAACCATCATAGAATAAATATGAGGGAAGGAAGCACATGATGCATGAACTTACATCATTGTTATAACTAACTACATAGGTGCTAGATTCCCTTATTTTGAAGATGTTGAAGAACACCAAGCACTCTCTATGGTCAGCCCTGAAGACCGTCTCTGGAGCCTTCCACCTTCCAACCCAAATACCTAACTGCTAACATCCATTATAAAATATTGTGCAACTTTGGATATCTAGAATCTGCACCGTTGCTTTTAATTAGCAGAAGGATTATATTGGGCAAAACAATTGCCCCAGATAACTTCAATTAAGGATCATCAGAGACCTATTTCAAGAAAAAAAAAATATTCAGGAACTGAAAATGCTCCGATATTCAGTGAATTTGTCTTTTTTTTCTAAAGAAATGGTACTTGTATTATGAAAGAATAAATAAGACAAAATAAGATTATTTCATGGTGATTTGGATAAAGAGCTTATATTTTCATGGTATGGCAGCTAGAGACCTGTCATTAAAGTCACAAAGATCTGAGCTCAAGTATAGTCTCTGACCTAAATTGGCCATGTGACCCTGGGCTAATCACCTTCTTTCTCAGTGACTCTCTAAAACCCTAAGTCACAGAGCAAGTGCTGATCTGCTGTAGTAAAGGGAGTTTCCTCATCTCATAGGAATGAATGAAAAACACACTTACCAGCTGCCAAATGCTGCTGAATGGTGGGCAAGTATAACAATACCAATGGAATTATAGAGCTCATATAAAATAAAATCTATCCATATATGGTATATCACATACATTGTCTTACTTGATCCTAACCACAATGTTATGGGATATGCAATTTATGTATTACAAGAAGTGTGCTGGTTAATGTTTGTTTAAAAATCAGGTCTTCAGAAAAAAATACGTGACACACTTTAAATTTAATTTACATTATTGACATTTTCTCCATTAGTTTCTTGTCTAAATAATCAACAAAGCAGTGAATAAAGCTCTGATTTAGAATGTTTATGGCTTTCCGATGTGTAAATACTCGCATTGAAAATATAGTAATCAGCTCTCAAGGGCTGGTATGAACTGCCTCCAGGACACCCTTGTAATATTAACCCAACTTAAAGCAATAAGGAAATTGAGCCTAAGCAACTTGCCCAATATAGCACAGATAGCTAATGGCAAAGGTTGGAACTTGAATTCATGTTTTCTGACTTCGAGCTCAGTATTCCTTCCCCTATGCCATACTTTTGGGAGTCATTTAAAGAAAAACAAAGAATTTTACATCATAAAGGAAATATTAAAAAATTCGTGGAGCAGACGTAAAACTGAACCTCCTTTCATCTGTCATATGCATGGATGAATTGTTAAAAAATAAAAATGAATAGCTGTCAGACAGGATGATGTTGAGAAATTAAAACTGGAGGGTTATAATTATCCAGATTTACATTTCTTGCATGATAACTTTTTTCTGTGCTTGACACATAGTAGGCATGTAACAAATGTTTATTGATTTATAGAGATTTGGTTTCAGAATCAGAATGACCTGATCTAAGATCAGGTCACTTCTTTTTTTTTTTAAGGCAATTGGGGTTAAGTGGCTTGCCCAGAGTCATACAGCTAGTAAGTGTCAAGTGTTTGGTCTGAGGTCGGACTTGAACTCAGGTCGTCCTGACTTCAGGGCCGGTGCTCTATCCGCTGCTCCACCTAGCTGCCCCTAAAACCCACTTCTGATACTAGACATGAACCTCACTCAAGCAAATCTCTATGATTATATAAGCTAAAGGTTCCCTATCTTTTATCTCAGAGGGAGTCTTTTTTACCACAAGCATTTATTAAGTGCCTAGTATATGCTAGGCACTGTGTTAATGAAGCAGAAGAGAATAATTAGGCTAACCTGAGAGAGAGAGAGAGAGAGAGAGAGAGAGGAAAAGAAAAAGAACAAAAGAAGGAAGGAAGAAAGGAAAGAAGAAAAGAAAGAAAGAAAAGAGAGGGGCAGCTAGGTAGTGCAGTAGATAGAGCACTGGACCTGGCATCAGTAGGACCCGAGTTCAAATCCGGCCTCAGACATGTAACACTCACTAGCTGTGTGACTCTGGGCAAATCACTTAACCCCAATTGCCTCAACAACAACAATAAAAAAGGAGGGAGGGAAGGGAGAAGGAAAACATCACTTATCTGTTGGGTGCAAGGTATTATTCTAGATACTGGAAAGTCATTGATTAAGAGTGAGAACTATGCAGAACAGAGCATCAATGACAGAGAATAAACTTTTGGCATCTCCCAATGTTTTGTTATTATTATTTTCAGATTCTCTTTCCTATTACTTGGTCTACTTCATATCTACTATTTTCTTCCATTTTATAGTTCTCAGAATATTTGCACCCATTGAGTACAGCTCATTGGTGGATGAAAAGCATTAGGCCAGAAAGGAGTTCATGGAACAAAAGAAGAAGATTGGAAAAGAGAAGTCATGCCCTTGTGGTGAAGTACTTTGGTGAGGATACACCTATTGGAAAATACAGGCCAAATCTTCTCTTTTCTAGTCAAAACCATTTGCATCAAGTTCCCTCTACCATTACTCATACAATCTGGTTTTTGAGACCACAATGGTTCAAACTGAAATATTAGATGGTGTCTGTATGTGAATAAACAGTAGTTGATGAAATGTTGCAATCATAAATTTTAAAAACTTTGGAAAGAGATTTTGATTTGGAGTTGGGGTTTCTTGAGTGCATGGAGATAATAACACTAAAAAGTGTGTATGTCTGCATGTGTGTGTGTGTGTGTGTGTGTGTGTGTGTAGGGTTGGAGAGTCAGATTGGCATAGTGGAAAGCACAATGCCTGAAGACAGAGGACCTAGGTTCCAATACAACCTGACACTTTTGGTCTGTATGACTTTGGACAACTCATTTAACTTCTCAAGACATTAATTTCCTCCTCATCTTCTCAAATGAGGGAGTTGGCATGGACTGTCTCTGAAGCATGTCTATCACTCATTCGATGTTCCATGCTTTTCATTTTATGAAGCACATTCTTCATACACACCATCTTATTTGATCTTTTCCAAAAACCCCTTCAAGAAGGGAGCGTAAGAATTATTATCCCTGATAGGCAGATAAAGAAATCAATGTCCAGATAGGCAAACAAAAGAATACAGAATAAAACAATACAAACAAAACCCAAAAACATAATGTGTACTACCTTCCTTGCAGGGTTGTTTCAAGGAAAACAAAATATGAAAGCATTAAAGTTATGTAGTTAATCATTACTAATTGGCAAAACTAGGATTTGGACCTATGTATTCTGAATCCTAAGTCAGGGCACTTTCCATTATAGCACCCAAATGTGGTAGCTCTGCATTCTTTGAAGTTGGCTTCCATACTATCTTGGCTAAATATATGAGAGGCACTACTCATCAGAGGTTCTGGAATATGATACAGAACTTAGCCGCATAGTGGCAGGCTAGTCTAATCCTAAGTAGCTTGTGGTGTACTTGAGTAGGACATTGCGATTGCCAACTGTGATATTCAGCACGTTCTTGACTTGATGGTGGTCCAGATGGAATGCAGAATTAACTCTGTCTGATTGCCAAATAATAATAAGTCAAGTAATGACAACCCAACGTTGCTGGTTGTTTCCAACTGAAAATACCACAGCACAGTGAAATTTTGCCAACTTTAACTCTCTGAGGTTAGAGTATAAGGAAGAGAAAGGTGACAAGAAAAAATCCTGCATTATAAAAACTTAAAGAAATGTACATTTGTTGTTTTCAAGTATATTAAATGTGCTGAAATAACCAAGTATTTCTAAGTGGAATATCTACTGGAATTACTACTACTACTACTACTACTACTACTACTACTACTACTACTACTACCACTACTACTACTATTAGTACTATTAGTACTAGTACTATACTAATAGTAATAATAACAAGGCAGCATGACCTTATGGATAAAGATTCAGCCCCTAAGAAAGACCTAAGTTCAAGCTCTGCTTATGATACATGCTGGCTTTGTGACCCTGGGCAAGTGCCTTAACCTCTTATTGTCCCAAGAAGCTTTATAAGACTCTAAGTTTCAGAACAGTTTCAAATCGGCATTAGGTAGAGCAAGTTTCCTCAACAGAAATTTTCTGTGCCAATGAAATCACAGATGTTGCTGTCAAAGATAATTCACATTTACCTAGGCTTGCAAAGTAGATAATATATATCAGGGGTGGGGAACCTGCAGTCTCGAGGCCACATGTGGCTTTCTAGGTCCTTAGATGTGGCCTTTGGACTGAGCCCAAGTTTTACAGAACAAATCCTTTTACTAGGGGACTTGTTCTGTAAAGTGTAAATTTAGTCAAAGAGCTTCACTTGAGGACCTAGAGGGACACATGTGGCCTCAAGGCTACAGGTTTCCCACCTCTGGTCTGTATATATTGGTGTGTATACACACATATATATGTATGTGTATACATATATGTATGTATATACATATATATGTATATACACACATATATAGTAGGTAGATATATATTTTTTCTCATTTCACAGATAAGCTCTTGTGATGAGTTATAGAAAACTGAGACATCATGGCATAGCGTACATAGGGTTGACCTTGGAATCAGGAAGACCTTTGTGTAAGTCCCACTTCTGACATGCATGGTCTATGTGACCTTGGATAAGTCACAAAAACTCTCAATACCCAAAGTAACTCTAAGAGACTGTAAGTTAGGAAAGATCTGTCATTCTTTACAGCTGTTCCCAACAGATGACATCACACATGCAGGAAAAAAAAAGAGAGAAATTAAGGTTCATAGAAGATAAGTGATTTATCCATGGTCATATCGCTTGCAAATATCTAAGCTCAGAAAAAAGTCAAATCGCTTAACTAAATCTAATGCTTTTTCTAATATAAAGACTGAAATTATTACATTTTAAAATCAATATCACACTTTAAAGGATGAATGGTTGGATGAACAGGTAGATAGATAGATAGATAGATAGATAGATAGATAGATAGATAGATAGATAGACAGACAGACAGACACAGATGGACAGATGGGTGGATGGATAGATGGATAGATAGATGGTATGAGAGAGGGGGGCAGAGAAAGAGAGACAGACAGAGATAGTGAGAGAGAGAGAGAGACAGAGACAGAGACAGAGACAGAGAGACAGAGAATTTATTTAGACCTTTAAGTTTTGCAAAGAACTTTGCAAATATCTCATTTTATCCTGGAAATGACCAAATGACTCTGGGAGAAAGGGTGCTATTATTTATTGCCCTTTTACATATGAGGAAACAGAGGCTGGGAGACATTAAGTGACTGGCCCAAGACTACATATATTATGCCATTTTGTCCTTGCAATAACTCTGGTAGGAAGATGTTATTATTATCCTCATTTTACCAAAGAGGAAACTGAGGCAGACAGAGATTTAGTGACTTGCACAGGATCACACAACTAACAAGTATTTGAGTCAGTATTTGAACTCAAGTTTCCTAATTCTAGGTCCATTGCTCTATCCACTAATATCCACTCCTTAATTCATTTTAATACTAGCACTAGCTAAAATATGGTCTTGGGAGAATTCTGTGACCACTCATCATTTCATCTGTTGCCACTGTAATTTAGGAAGTTCTACCAGCCTTCAAGGCAAAGTCTACACCATTTTCTGAATAAATATAGTAGGTCCTTGTTCTCCTTCACATACCTAGTAATTGTGGAATGCAGGATTTAAACTAATCTTTCTCCAGACTAAGTTGAACACACTTTTCACAACACCATGTTGTTTCTCATTGTTAATATGGGAATCAGAAACATTTGAGTTTAAAACCTTCCTCTGACATTTCCTAGCTTTATGACCACATGTAAGTCACTTATTTCTTATTTAAGCCTCAGTGCCCTCAGCTATAAAATGACAATGACAATTCCTATAGTTCCTACAGGCTGTTGCAAGACTAAAATGAGATGTTAGCAAAATATTTTGCAAACCTTAAAGCACTATATGAATGTTTATTATTATTATTATTATTATTATTATTGTTATTATTAAAAAGGCAGTATGACAATATTCTGTGGTGCCCAACCAGATTAAAATGTAATTGAGGAAATATTTAACAAATAAATGAGAATACAATACAACATAGATAATGTTAATGCGTGATTTTCTAAGTCAATACATTTTAGTGGCTCCCATTTCTATCAGAGTTTGACACCATTGATGTAGTCAATAAAGACAGTCAGAAAGTTGATTCCAAATTCTGTCTCTGACACATACCAGATGTCCCTATGGCTAAGTAACCCAATCAGTGCCCCAGCCTGATTATAAAAAATTAAATTATCAAATTTATTAAATTAAATCTCTCAGAGTTTTAAGTTGCATGTGAGTTAATGATCTGTATTGATGGAGGGATGGCACAGCTAGGAAGTGGTGGCAGCTAGGTGGCTTGGTGGATAGAGTATTGGACCTGGAGTCAGGAAGACCTGAATTCAAATTTGGCCTCAGAAACATACTATCTCTGTGACCCTTGGCAAGTCATTTCTCCCTGTTTGCCTTGATTTCCTCATCTGTAAAATGAACTGGAGAAGGAAATGGTGAACTACTCTAGTGTCTTTGCCCAGAAAACCCTAAATAGCATCACAAAGAGTCAGAAATGACTGAACAGCAACAACAAAATTAATGGAGGAAATTCACACATCAGGAGTTTTCTGTGTTAGTGAAATCATAAATTCAGGACCCCTTCAAACATGATTATTATATGGAACCAAAATATGCCTCCTTTTAACTTCCACTCTTTGGTTCTACTACTGTCCTTAAGAACACCATAGAACACACCTTTTTTTTTCCCCCCAAATTAGAGCTTTGGACAACTGTCTTTCCCATCCCAGTTGTTCAATTTCAAGTGATAATCCTGACTGTATTCAAAAGCTTCATATTATTTGCAGGCTAAATCTGGCTGGAGGAGAGTTCCAAATTCCTTTGGAGCAGGAGATCTACACTTTTTTTTTTCTTTTCTGTGTCATGGCCCCTTTGGAAGTGTGACAAAGTCTATGGACTTCCCACAATGTTTTCCTTTTTGTTGTTGTTCATAATGGAAGAAAATGATAAATTTCAGTTAAAGGTCAGTGAAAATAAAGATATCACCTTTAACTATCAAAATTCACAGATCACCTGATATTTATCCATGAATCACTTGGATCTCAGGTTAAAAATCCTTGCTTTGGATGGCAAGGCGATGGTGGGAATGAAAGTTGAAATTATAGTGATTTGCTAATTTTCATTTTTAATCAGCATCTTTTGAACCAGATGCTTGTAGTTCTGGGTAAACTGTGCTCTGTGTAGGAAGTGAGATAACTCCTCAGGCAAGGAGAGTTCTAGTCTTCTTTCTCAATTACTTATATGGGTTAATGATTGAGTCAGACTTTTTAGGACAGGGCAACAGTAATAACAATGGATCATGTCAGAGTTCTAACCAGAGAGCGATGGGAAAACCAACCATAGGGAGAAAAGAGGTAAAGAAGTATTGAGAAAAAAGAAAAGGTGAAAGGGATAAAAGGAAACGTGTAATATGCTCGCCAAATACATCCATCCCTTACCCCAATCAGAGTTTATCTCTGCTTCACCACAACTTCATCTAAAATTTGGGCAGAGTAGAGCACTATACCTCACAGAGACAGCAGTCAACAGAGGTGGTGACTAAAGATGTGGGATATAGGTGTTCCAGTATCATAAGTGGTAAAGGGCATAATCCTATTTTTTTTAGGTCTTGATCAGAAATAGATGAGAAAATGGCCCTTAAGCTCCTATATCCAAGACGAGGTAGCTTGTGTTCTATTGCAGGTAATTATTAAAGGATTGTAGATTTAGAGCTAGGGGGAACTTTGAAGATCATCTGGCCCAACCTTCTCTTCCAGATGAGGAAACTGAAGCCTGGGAGTGTGGGGGTGTGTGAAGTGACTTGTCCAAGGTTTCACAGGCAGTAAGTAGCAGAGTTCATTCGAGCTCAGACCCTATAATTCCAGATCAAACAGTCATCCTACTTTACCATACTGCCTTGATAAGGTGAAGTCTGAATTTTCTTTGGCTCTTCCTGAATCTCCTGGGTACTATCACTCTCTTTTTAGTTAAAGTACTCATATTTGTTTTGGCATGTTGGCCAGCAATATACATATATCATCACTTTATGAAGATAATTAGGTGTTATCAACAATGGACAGCTATTTTCAGACCTGGAGAAGAAAATGGCAAACCACTTCAGTATTTTTACCAAGAAAACCTCAAATAGGGGTCATGAAGAGTTGGACAATACCAAAAAAACAACTCAACAACAACAAAATTTTAAGACCATGTGAATCAAGGTCATACACTACATATCTTTATCTCTAGGAATTCATATTATCATAGATTTATAGCTAGAAGAGATCTCAGAAGTCATCTAGTCTAACCTTCCCATCTTATAGATTGGGAAATTGAAGCCCAGAGAGGCTAAATGACTTAGTAAAATGAATCAGCCATGAGGCTGATGAGAAGACACTTCCATCTCAACCTTCAGATATATGTATATTAAAAAGATGGCATATGTATTTGTGATCATAGTGAATGTATCCATGAAATACAGAAAGGGATTTGAACTTACTATCAATCTCATTGACCTCGAGATAATAATTTTCAAGGTTTTCATTGACAGTTGGGATTTTCTTCAGCTTATTATAGGAGAGATCCAACTCAATAAGAGTAGAGACGTTGAAAGAATTGCCTGGGATCCCACCATCAGCCAACTCATTGTGAGACAACCGTAGGTACTGCAGGGCACTAAGGCGCTTGAAATACTCATCAGGTATATTGCTGATCTTGTTGTTGTCCAGGTAGAGCGTTAGCAGAGAAATGGGAAGTCCATTGGGCAGCTTGGACAGCTGGTTGAAGCTCAAGTCAAGATATTCAAGTTTCTTCAGGCCCTTAAAAGCTGCTGAGACTGCATCCTCTTTCAGTTGGTTGTGCTGAAGGTTGACAAAGGTTAGATTGATGAGACCATCAAAGAAGGTGGGAGAGATCTTGGTGATTTTGTTATAGGCCAGCTGCAGGTCATCCAGAGATTTGGGAAGGGGGCCCACCACTTCAGTCAAGTTGTTGTGGTTGATGTGTAGTTTCTTGAGCTGTTTCAGCTTTGAGAAGATTTTCCCCTTGATCTTGGAGTTTTCCAAGCGGTTGTTATCAAGGATGAGCCATTGGAGATCAGTGACATTCTCAAATGCCTTCTCCTCGATGGACTCAATCAAGTTGTTCCGGAGATAAAGATACTTGATCCCGGGAGGTATGATGGGCATGGTTTTCAGTTTCAGCTCATCACAATACATAGCTGTTGGGTAATTTATTGGACAGGTACACTCTGGGGCACAGTTCGGTGAAGACAGTTGGTACATGGCAAAAGGATAATCAAAATCATAGTAATCTTGGCAGCTGATGCCACCGATCAATGCCAAGGTGAGAAGGAGTGCATTTAGATACATCTTCTTGAGGTATTCTAGACCCTAAGTAAGGGAAAAATAAATACCATTACATATAATATCATGGGATCAGAGATCTAAGGGTAGAAAGGGGCCCCAAATACCATCTAATCCACTTCCTTTTTTAAAGATTAGGAAACTGAGGCCCAGGGAAGATGGATGACTTAGGATAATACATGTAGAGCTGTAAGGGATTTTAGAAGCCATCTTGTCCATCCCCCTTTATTTTGTAGATGAAGAAACTGAGGTTCAGGGAGGATGAGTGACTTAGCATCATAAGATCTTGGATATAGAGCTACAAGGTATCGCAGAGGACATCTTTAGAAGTCACTGGGTGGCACAACAGTGATTTGAGCTATGGATCTGAGTAAGGAAGACCTAGGTTCAAATGTAGCCTCAGATATTTACCAAGTGGAATGCCTTAGGAAGTTACCAATCCTTCATCTGCTTCATTTTCCTCAAATGCAAATTGGGGATGATAACAGTACTTACCTCTCAGAGTTATTGTGAGGATAAAATGAGAAGATATTTGTAAAGTGCTCTGTAAAACTTAAAGTACTACATATTATAATGACATATTATATATAATAATTCTATGTAAGTATATATAGTGCTACATAAATGCTAATATATTATAATGATATATATAATTCTATATAAGTATATATAATGCTATATAAATATATTATAATGTTATATAAATGTTAATATATTATTATCTGACCTATCCTCCTTGTTTTGCAGACAAGGAAACTTGGAAGCATTTGGGCAACAAGTTGGATAGAGGGCTGGATGGAGGCAGCTCATTTAACCTCTTGAAGCCTCAGTTTCTTCATCTGCAAAAATGGGTACAATGTTTTTAACTACTTCTCCAAGTTGTTATATAGAGTGAATAAAAAAAAAAAACTATGGAAAGCACTTTTCAGGCTTTAATGTGCCACATAAATACTAGCTATTGTTTGTATTGTTATCAAAATGAGGCTTAAGGAGATGCCATCATGTATTTAGAAAATTCAAGGGACCTTAGAGACCATCTAGTCTAACCCCATTATTCACAGACAAGGAAATAAAGCCCAGAGACGTTGAGTGACTTGTCAAACATCACATAGGTAGTAAATAGGAGCACTGGGATTTGAACCCAGGTCTTGGTTCAAAACCAGTGCTCCTCCCACTGTGTTATGTTCCCTCTCTTCTGCCCAAAATCACAAGTTATGATTATCTCCTTTTCAAATTTTAGTCTAGAATTTTTATGAGGATCTTCAATCCCCTTTTACTTATCTTAAAAAATCCTTAACTATATCATTAATGAAAGGAGGAAAGTGGTTTAAAAGACCAACTTTCATTGTTATCATTGCTGGAGAAAACAAATGAGCTATATTGGATGCTCTTCTGCCCCCTTCTGGGCTGGGCATGGAACAGCTTTTCCAGTCAGATTCTCTAAGACCTTCTCCAGAGAAATTGCAGTGACACTCTGGAATCTGGGCTCCAGACCATGGCTGGTCACTGCTTTGAAAAAAAAAAAAAAATTAAGGGCAAAAGCAACAATTTCTTTAAAATTCTTCCAGCTTTCCTATTTTAGTATCGTATCAAAAAGGGCTGCAGGAGTTTGGGAAGATTCCTCCTGGAGGATATGAGTCTAGGAACATCACCAGTGCCCCTGACGGACTTTAAGCCCATCACCAATGGTATTTTGCTCCTTTGAGAAAGGTCGCTTAGCGTTATTATAGTCAGAGACTAGAGACAAGAATGTTTGGCTAAGGTACCGCAAGATAAGGCTGTGTTTGGGGATGGGGTTAGTTGCTTTCTGGTGTATCCCAATGGAATACTTCAGCCGATAATCCTTAGTAAGACACATCAACTTGTTGCAGATGAACGTTATACCAACCCAAATCAGGCCTTCGACTCACAGAGATCAACTGAGAATCTGGAGAAAAATATCCCTAATCTCTTTTTGTGATTCAAATGTCTCTTTCTCAGGGATCTGCAGCTTCTCGACTAGCATCCTGCCAAGATCTTAATGGGCAGGAGCCACTACTTGGGAAGGGTTGTTCAAAATAGAAGTGGGAGGGAGGAGGGATTTGAGCAAAAATTTGAATTTGATCATAGGAGCAGAGGTGACGCAACTTGAAACAATGGGTAGGTTTGGAGTCAGAAAGATCTGGGTTCAGATGCCACATTTACTATGTGACCCTAGGCAAGACATCTAATGTCTCAGTGCCTCAATTTCCTCAACTGTAAAATAAAGAGGTTGAACCTCTTTATTATTTGAAGCCTCTGAAGTCCTTTATATCTTTAGCTATATGGTGCTATAATCTTTACAAGCTGTGTGACCCTGGGGCAGTCACCTAACTTTTCTCATCTGTAATATGAGGGATCAAACTAGATGGATTCTGAGGACCTCTCCAGTTGAAAATCCATGATATTAATTCTGAGATGTAATAAAACCTTAGAAACAGCCTGGTAGATAAAATGGGAGGAGGGGGGATTGGAGATTGAAAAAGCTTGAGAAAAAGGTTGCATTCATCATATTCTGTGGTAGAGATTGGTAAGACTATGGAATCATAGAACTCTAGTGCTGGAGACAAGTGAAGAGACTTTTCCAAGCTCACACAGAAATTTATGAAGAGCCAAGACTAGGTTTCCAGGCTCTCAGTGCAGTTTTCTATTACGTTATGGCTACTCTCACATGCCTACTGAAGTCAGGAAGGTCAGGGGCATATGTGGCATGTAACACAAATGATGGCCTTAAGGAATGTGTTGGAACTGGGTCCTTGCAAGATGGAAAGTCGTGGGTGAACAAAGCCTGCGTTTGGCTGAGCCAATTTTAAAATAAGATGGAATCTAATTTCTTTGTGTGAAAAACGAGAAGGGAATGTGATATTCAACACTATCCTTCTCCTAGGCATCTGCAGTTAACTTAAGATGTGTAAAGAACATGCATCTGTACTGTTTTCACTCGTAACCATGAAACACTTTTATCAATCAAATACAGCAGCTAAACAACTTTATTATAAATATTCTGAATGTGGATGCTAAATAGCAGATTGTGCTTGCTGACCAGACTTGGCTAAAATGATTATTACATAGCATTGCAACAAAATTAACCAATGGTGATATCTCCATGTTTGCTTTTTCCCTAAAATCATCATTTCAGACAGACCTGTCCTTCTCTATCAATCTGTATCAGAAAGCTCTGTCTCTCTTGATCAGTAAGATACTCATAGGCTTTTACTATCTATCCACTTCAAACTCACTACGTTCTTAATGCAGACATAGTCCCTATAGTAGCCCAGAAGAGGAAATAAAAACGTTTTCATAGTTTTTGATGGGGGCTGAATATTGGAAGGAAGAAATAGTGTGAAGTCAAACATGACCTATCACTCTATAATGAATCTTCTATGAGGTTGGATATTGGTCATACTTTTGTTTTTCTTAATTTTTTTTCCCAAACGTTTGTTAACTGCAAAAAAAAAGTATTACTACGGGGGAGGGAAAGATATGAGATAATCTATGTAAAATCCTTTGCAAAAGTTGAAACCCTATATAAGTTCATAATATCATACGTATTAGCTAGTATTGCTTTCTTCCAAGGTTTCTATAAATATCCCTTTTAGAAACACTCCAGGAATCACATCCTCAAAGCATTATGAAAATCAATGAAAGCAGAGTAATATAGTGAATAGGTCACTAAATGTGAATCCAAGAAAATCTGCATTCAAATCCCATCTCAGATGTGTGACCTCACATGATTCACATAATCTTTCTGCGCCTCAGTTTCCTCCTCTGCAAAATAAAAAGCTCAGACCTGATGGCCTCTATCATCTCTTTCAGTTTTCTATTTATGAACTTATAATTCTAAAGTTAGTTATCCAACGGGGAGTTTATGGAAGAACTCATATCTCTGTATCTTGCACCAATGATCTTTTTTCCAGCACAAATTTGTAATAATAGTGAATTCATTTAAAAAATTTGGGGGTGGGGCTTTGTTTTAAATGCCCTCTACCTTAATTAAAAGTCATTTCAGTGAAAACAGTAAGGAGGTAAAAAATCTTCTGAATTCCAGCAATGTGCTCTGGTTCCTGTTTAATATCACCATCCCCTCCTTCCAGCGATGAAGTATTCTTAAAAGTACCCTTCCCCGATAAAACAGAAAATGCCATGCACAGTTCTTCTCTCACTCATAAAACATGGAAGATATTTTCCACAAAATGGGAAAGCAACTGGATAAAACCTTGATTTGTTGTTCTCACTCTTTTACTGGCAAAGTTGCTGGGACATTTTTTCTGTTCCTGGGACAAGCCTCTTACCAGCTATTGAGCTCTAGCTCTCTCTCTCTCTCTCTCTCTCTCTCTCTCTCAGTTAAAACACTCAACAGGGCTTACCTTACTGCCTTGAAGTTTCTGTCTTCAATTCCCAGACCAGACGCAGTAAGGATAGGTATCGCCCAATACACGCCGTGAACTATGTCAGTAGACTGCCAGATTCTTGGTGATACAAGAGCTGTGGAGCTGTGTGTGTGTGTGTGTGTGTGTGTGTGTGTGTGTGTGTGTGTGTGT